TTCTGGTGATATGTACTGAAAACATACAGAAAATTGAGGAACCTGATAAAAATTAAGAAAAAAAAAAATTAAAATACCTCATCAGTGCTTCTTCATAATGCAGTTGTTAAGAATAAAATTGCCTACTTTTGCCTGTTAAAATGGATTTGCTAACTGTAAGGTATGAAGCAGGGAAATACGAAAATCACACATACCACATCATTGGGTACAGCAAGGCCAGTGGCATTGTCGAGAAGTGGATGTCGCCCTTGCTTCACAATCATCGACATGGACTGCGCAAACGAAGGTCGCACTGGAAAAAAATCTTTTCGCAACTGAGGGTTCTAACTGACCAACTGAAGCAAGATTTTGGAGAAAACAGAAAAAGATTGGTGATTTCTCTTCGAAAAAAAGGAATTACTCGAAAGTGGTCATGAAAGAAGCACCTTAGTTTTGTATCTGAGCACAGGCTAAGATTTCGTTGCAGTAGCTATACCTACGTGTGATTTCTGCGCATAGATCGAAAATGTGTTTTTGTGCTTGTACATGCACGTAAGTACGCTTGTGTGCTTGCTTGTATATGTGCAGATATGTTTGTTTTCCTTAAGATAGCTGTAATAGCTTTCAGGTTTAGAAGGCAAACCTGATGGAGTCTTCGTAGCGTAGGTAGCAAGCGCAAGGATGAAATCAACAATGGAAATCGCCTCGATTGCATGATACAAACACGGAATCAGCAGACGAATCTAAACGTCAGAATTAACGACGGTCAGGATTGCTTAGACTCTTGGTGATGAAATACTACGTGCGAGGAAGAAATAGCTAATTTAAGACTTTTCTACAGATCGTCAGATAGGAGGCCGACTGGAAACCTTTACTCATAACTCTCAGTATCTTAGCCTCATTTTTAATACCACTTTTTCAGTTTTTTTAAATTTTATGTTCTGGAACTAAAATTTTGAGGTTACTCAATTTTTGCATGCTTTAAGACTTTTTAGCTGATATCTTAGGGCACAGTTTTCAAATTTTTTTTGACTTCTAATCTTGCAGTTGAAATTTCAATTATGATTATTCCAGTGCTTTTTTGTTGTTAATTTTTGTGTCAGCTTTCAATTTTCACTCACAATTTTCAATTCTTTACAACGCTTTTTGTCGAAACAAAAGCGCTTTCAAAAATGCTCAGACAAAAAAGGCGTTACTATGTGAACACATAACAGTAAAATAACCTCATTTAATAGAGATAGTAAAACAAGATTGCTCCGAATCATTAATTCGTTGACAACTTCATTGATTCGTTCTG